CCCCAAAACCCCAAAACCCCAAAACCCCATATTGAATGAAAAAATGAAATTGAAGTATTTGTAGAATATTAAAATCTAAACTCATATAAATAATTTCAAATAAATCTATTTAATCTTTCTTTATACCTATCTGTACCAAATTCGACCATATGATTACTTCTTAAATCACTACTTGAATGTGCCTTATTCAATCGTATAGTTTTTATTCTAATACCCCTTTTCATGCCATCACTGTCGACTTAGTATTGAGTTTTTGTAATTACTGAATGTTGTCTCAATGATTAGTGAGGCTTGAAGCTGTAGTTCTAGAACCCATTATTACTTTAATGCAATGAAGGGTAGTTGGTTAGTGTTCTATATTAAGTATTGACTGGTGATGTCAAGGGTCTGGAAGAAAATTCTACTATTGATTATGTAGGGATAACATCAGGACTAGATTGAGATTTGTCATCTGAGTTAACGCTGTTCTTCCGAAGATTATTATTAGAAAAATAGTGCCTATCTGGATTAATACTCGCTCTAAAGAAATCTTTGTTGCTTAAGCCTTTAGTTAATAATGATGAAGTATCATCAGCCGCAGTTGAAATTCTCAATTGCAGTTTATCTTGCCTTATCCTTTTAAGCTTATCTTTTGATGCATTCTCAGGAATAACTGGGGGATTCAAAAAAAATTAAGTTGTTAGATATCGAGCTATAAATTTAAAGAAAATCGAAACTTACTTTGATTTTCTTTTATTATACTTGCATATTTTTATTATTTTTCAAATTGTGAGTCATACTTGTCGAAGTTATAGGAAGTCGATGCTCTTTATAGTCTTTTAAGGAATTTCTATGAAATTATCTCAAGGCATTTTTACCTAATTTAGTTTAGTAGTCTCCATTAGTTGTTTAAATCTTTGCTCTTTATTCAAGCTAGTTTTCCACTGCCAATTATTTTATCTCTCAACAATTTCCTTTTGTAAATCAGAAGGCTTTTTATCAATAAGTAGCATTCTTTTAAGCAATCTTTTGTTTTCTTTGACAATAGTCTCAGCCTTTTCTTAAGTATTAAGTTAAAACAAAGAAAGGAAATGAAATATAATTTTCTGACTGATAGCTTCTGTAAGTATTCTAGTAAATTAGACTTACCTAATTTATTTCTATTATATGCTTCCTATGCCATTAAAAAATCAGGCTAATGAGGTTATTTTATCTTTGTTTAAGGTTTTATCTAGCTAATTCTTTCAACATGAGTTAAGTAATCCTATGAAAAAAAATTTAATAAAATGTTAATGGATTGCTGTGAAACCCTACTTATATTTTATCTCTTTAGAAACAGATACGGTTTTGAAGAGGTATGGGTTGATTCATTTTATTTCAATACTTATAATTTTTATTCAAAATAGTAAATATTTGAATAAAAATTGAATTACAGGAATCATGGGGTTTTGGGGTTTTGGGGTTTTGGGG